AATTGTTCTCTGATTTGAAAGCTGATATACTACATCAAAAACGGTTCTCAATGTCATTAAATTTCTATCCATCACATCTGCTGAAATCCGTGTAATTCTTTAAGAGTGCTGTCTATCATAGAAACTTATCAGAAATACTCACAAAAATAGACTTCCATTTTTATTAGGGGGAGTAAGATGCAGTTTATTTATTAATCTTAGTTTTTGGAGCAAAGAAATGTAGTGAACTAGAGAACTTTAAATGAATGCAAAACCACATATTGTATTTATTGCAGCGGCTCGAAGTAAACGTTATTGCAAATTTTATTGACCACAAAAAGAGCACGTTGTTGTTTCTGCAACAGCTACGACAACTAATTCTTCGGTGTTTCTCAAGAACTTCTACATTTAGATCAATTCGTTTATATCTTTCCGGTTCACATATTCATCTTTCAGCTCATTCAAAGACGCTAATGGTTAAAGTAACTGTTTTTGTTAAATTATATTTAAATATCAAATAACACTAAAATCTTAAATTCTGTATCTATTTAATTCAGCACATCGAGCAATGTATAATTCTTAATAAAATATATTACACTTCCTGTCTCGGTAAGTTTAGTAGGCTTTCTACCCCCTCCCGGTCCGCCAATAAAGGAGTTTTTAAAACCGCTTATTACTGAGCTCGAGCCCAGACAAACGGGTTGATTGCGTGATTAGTTTTTGTAGTTACAACGACGTCTGCCGTGAATATAGGCCGCTTTCCCTTAGAAAGCCGTCCAGGAAGGCATCCCTTTTCTTAGGCAGATTGTTCTTGCGAGCTTTCCCATATTATCCTAATATCCTAAATCCAATCTCGCACTTCGTCTTTCGCCATTCATTTCCGTGAAGCGGCAGTGATTAAAAAGGTAGTAGAAATGTAAAAACGGTATCGAAAAACAAATGACGGGGGGATAAAGAGCAGGAGAAGGACATTATCCATAGTTAAGTTATTTGCTTTTTGACGTTCATAAAGCTAAATAAGTAATTTACAGCGTAATACAAGTCATGTTGGATATATTTCTAGTTCATTCTATTGGGCTAGTCTCCGAGCTGCAGGAAAAATTCCAAATGGCATTCAAGTTTGTCTGAGTTTGGAAATTTTTTACGCCTTCAGCGGACGTTACATTGAGTTTCATTATGCAAAAATGGTGAATTCTTCTAACGTTATTATATGTATCTATTCAGTATTCCGCATCTCTTAACACTTCTGAAAAATAGCTTTTTATATGTGCGATCTATGACGATATTTGACGCTAAAATTGACTAAACTCTAAGAATAATTAATCTATAACATAAGTAAATTGCATAATTAAACTATAACGTATGAGTAATATATATAACATCTCTCATGTGTTCTACATAATATTTTTTTTAATATGTATAAAGTATTACTAATTAACAAAGCCAATACTAAGATTTTCAGCAGCCGTCTGCAAGTTTCGAAATTCCTTCAATAGGAATGATTTGAGTTTTGAATCTGCATAATAATCGTAAGTAATAAAGCAGCAATATTAGAGATATTTTTATTTTCCACAGTTTATATAAGCGAAAGTAAAGGCAATTCTCTTCACATCGAATATAGGGTATTATTTGCTAACAAAGAACAATTTACAAGAGTTTTTTGGAGATATGCAATCAAGGGTAATAATTTTGTTTTCGTAATTAGAGTGAAATATATTAGTGAACAGCGCAATTTCATTTTTGGAAACTGGCCGGAGGAAATTATAATACGCTAAATATAAGCAGAAGTATACTAAAATATGTAATAAATATATATTTATTTAGCCGGTGATTTATTATTAATCTAAATGTCATTTTATATTCTTCAACATTGCACACCATGTATGCTGGGGGAAATGGGATAGTTTTATATCTCCCGTTCTACTGAGTCGATTGACGAAATTCAAATTACGTTTTTCATGTCTCGAAAGTGCGACTTAGGATGTATATTAGATTTATATATATTAGTCTTCTATAATAGGTATTTCGGCATAAAATCGTAGATTTTTTAAATTGGCATGACTTTTTTTTCATATTTCGACCCTATGACTTAAATTATGCCTAAATATTAAATTTTTTAAAATTTGGTGCGATATTTACGGAGACATTCAAAAATTTATCTTGGCGCATTTTTTCAGCTTGAGCCAAGAATGATTCACTTGGCGAAGTTCTTAATTTACAGCAACCTATTTACCTTTACTTTTTTTGCATTGCCCACGAGTGGAAAAAATTCATCTTTAACAAAGTGCGTAAACCACATTTCGGTTATTATCGCTTATAATAAATGCGCCAAATTTCAAAACGTGCCAAAATGTAAATTAACGTATATATTAAGAAATTAAATAAAAAACATCAATTTTTTGCAGGTATGCTTAGATATGCATCTACTTTAAGATGACGGCGAAAATTTTATAGGTTATAATTCAAAATGTTTTTCAAAAAAATTATAAAAATCATTTTAAAATACAAATTTTTAAAAATAAATCATAAAAAATGGGCACATTTTATTTGGAATGACTCTAAATTTCGAAATATGAAAGAAACAATTAAATAACGAAAATAAAAAAAGAGCTTAATAAATGTATATGGTATTTCTCCCGCCTTCCTAGCATGCCTTCATGGCGTGGTGGTCTGCACACTGGGCGTGTATTCCAGAGATCCGTGGTTCGATTCCCTGCGAAGACGCTTGCTAATTTTTCATCGTGCTTGCTTCCAAAATATCCTAATGTCTCTACAGTGGCTTCCGAACTAAATTGGTAGTGGATGATAATTCTCCCCACCGAGGATTTGGCGATTGGGACCCCTAAAAACCGTAGTCACCCTTTAAAAGGGGTTAGTATATAAGGTATTTCTCCCGCCTTCCTAGCATGCCTCCGTGGTGTAATGGTCTGCACGCTGGGCGCGTATTCCAGAGGTCCGTAGTTCGATTCCCGGCAAAGGCGGCGGTTGCTATTTTTAATCTTAATTTCTTCCATAAAATCCTAATGTCTCTACAAATGTATACCAAATTCAATTAACATGGAGAAGCTAAAATTTTCACAGCTAATGTATTAAAAACTACTCGTGAGATTTTTACTAACTTTGGTCTAATTTTAGTCCTAGAATTTAAATATGAAAAAAAAGGAGCATGCCATTTTAGAAAAAGTCCGATTTTGTGTCAAAATACCTATATTAGAACAATGCTGTATATAAATCCGATACATATCCGAGGTCGCACTTTCGAGTCATGAAAAACGCAAGTTGAATGTCATCAATTGGCCCAGCAGAACGGGTGATATAGAACTATTCCATTTTTTTTTCGCAGTGTACATAGATGCAGTGATGTTCCTTATTATTACACAATAATCTAATACTGTTAGTTTAAGGTATACACTTGAAAGAAAAAGTGTTTCGTTTGAACAAATGTTTTGAAACAGAGCCATATTCTTATTTAAAAAAAAATGAAAAGAGATAATTTGATACGGAATTTGATATCAGAATGGCAACAAACTCTTCAGTTTTCTTGATATTCTGATTCTGGTTTTTATGGGAGTATGCTTCTATTATAATATTTTTTATAATAAATTTCCTTTACATTTTTCATCAATTATGAAATTCTGACCAATTAATACTGAGGATTTGGACTTTAGATTATTGTTGTTGACTCTTGACAAAGAAAAGGAAACCATCTATTTACTAAGTTAGTCGTTTTGGCCCATGTATGCCACTATCAAGTGAAAGAGGGCCCTCCAGTGAAGCAGGCGTTTACAGCCCGCGAGCATCTAAATTCTTCAGTATTTTCTTGTAACTGTTTCCAATAATCAACTGGTAGCAGAGAGTTATAAAGCTGTAGGATACATACTTAACATAGAATTTTACATATATTTAATTATGTAACATAACAATACAAAACAAGCTACAGTAATATAAAACAAATCTAAGATAAATAAATTGGCAATAAAATACAATAGAGTTCACACAACAGAGTATAACAGATTTAGTACATTAAGATCATAAAGCTACCTGTGCAGGAATGGGCAGGCTATCGCGCGAAACGCGACGTATCCGACTGGGTGACAAGTAATGCTGTAAAGGCGCATGGCAATAGAAAGCCGGGACATAGTAATACCAGAACAGACGTGAAGTAGAAGAGTGAACATACAGCTGACAGAGAAATATATGAGGAAATTTAATCTGGTTTATGCTTAAAGTGCTAGTTATAATTTGCTCTACTAAATGTGGGATGGTGCTAATAATAATGATAATGAATTCCTAATGATAAAAATATACATTTATTATATATCAAATTTACGAAAGCTCACGTGTAAGATAAACCACGTCAGTTTTTATCTGAACAGATTTTCCGCTTTTAACATTATATCTGAGCGGATAGTGGGCTTACATCAAAAACTCCATAGAGGAGTTTAGCAGTCTCATTTGCCGCAACGCCCCTGGGATCCCATTGGACTAGCACGGACTTTTAAAACTGAACTATGTCATCACATCAAAGATCCGGTTCTTCAGGCTCACCATTCCCAGAGATACGGAGAAAACAAAAGGAATGTGACATACTGAAACCATACCTGGCCACTGCGCTACCAATTTAGATGACATACGCCACTACCCTCGGGGGGAATACAGGAGTCACTTATGGGCAGTACGGAACCGGGTCTATGCATTTTATGCCCCCGGAGCTGGGGCTGTTAAAGCATATTACTCTTACTAACCCAGTATATTTGACCCCATGAGTCATTAGTTTAGTTTGCTAAAGGTTTCAAGTGTGGCTTAAATCTATTGGGTACTGGAATTAAAATACAAAAAATAAAATTTTGGTATTTCCCCACCATTGCTATCTTATTTGAGCATTTACATTTTTAGTTTTCAGACCAACTTATTTGCAACTTATTCATCAGAAAAGAACATTGTTCATATCTATTCTATATTTAACCTTGAAATATGTGTAAATCATACTTTTACTGATATAAGCACAATCTGTATTTTAGGAAGAAGCAAAATATCTACTGGATGACGTTGCCTACAACTGCTGCGAGTCTCTACGGACACTCCGCTTAGTCAATTGCTCAAAAGAACCTTTCGCCATGCTGCATCCAGCTGTCTTCGTCAATCTCCAGAAACTCACATTATCACCTCAGCATCTTTCTGATGACATCGTTTTACTTCTAGGAAATACTAAACTTAAAGATCTGTACCTTCTGCAAACAAAACTGACTCAGTATGCAACCCCAGTCACGCCTAAGGTGTGGAGGGAGTGTTCCAAGCATTCACCATTGCTCAAAGTTCATCATATCCTGACAGGCCCTGTAAAAACGCCGGTAAAGTTTTTAGATTATGCTCTCTTAAATTATATAATAGTGCTGCTTAGTAAATTTAATTCAATTTACTTGAAAAAATCTTAGGCAACAATAACTTTTTTATGATTAGTATGTAGCTGAGTAGAAATCAAATTATGGTTTGCATTATTTACTATTATTTTTATTTTTCTCATTTTGGGGTAATATGAACATCTAAATCCAGAAATTTGCATTCATTTCAAGCATAAAAGTGCTTATTCATTACTTCTACTGTATACATTATTCAAAATTTCGGTTTTGAAACGAAAGGGCAGCCGTGTTTAAAGTGTTATCACCGTCACTAATTTTTAGCTTTGCTATTATGAAAAAAAAACATTATTTTAGGAGTACTCAACATGTGTTTTGTGAAACCTGAGTTCCACATAATCGTCCTTCTGTGCTCGCTATTCGTCGAATCGTTGAAAAATTTGAAAAGAATTTTCTTTTTCACGATGCGGATGTACGAACAAAATGTCGAAATGCAAGAAAGGGCATATAACATTGCTGCTGTACAAAATAGTGAAGCAGACATCCCAAATGTATCGATTTCTGACTGTTCTTAAGAAATAGGACTTCCAAAACTGAGAACTTGGCGTATTTTGTGAAAAGACTTGGATTTACTGTCGCGTAAGTTTGTGTTAACCAAAGAATTGAAGCGTTGGGCTATCAAAAGCGCCGTGAATTTGCTTCTTGGACATTAGAGCAAATATACGTTGATAATAATTTTTGCGCAAAACATTATTTCTCAGATGATGTTTATTTCTGCTTAAGCGGATACATTAAAAAGCATAACTGTCGATTTGGTGAGAAGAAAATTCCTAAAAGATGCACGAGAAGACCTTGCATTAGAAAGGGTCACTGTGGGGGAAGACAGTGGCATCATCGGACCATTTTCCTTCCCCTTAAACGGGGAGGAAACGTTAATACAGTAACTCTTGATACCGGTTGAAGATAACAAATTTGTAAGATATCTGAACTCAATGACCTATGGTCTTCCTTATATGTAACATGTACACAACCGAGTTTCCCTTAGAAAGTACGAAAGCATCTCTTTCCATAGGCAGATGTGCTTTGCCAGATGTTTCCTAATTTGCTTTGTCATAGCAACTAAACCAAACCAAACTCAAATCAAGAGTCCATGCCAGCAAACCACAAAGTATTGAAGAATAAGAATAAACATCGAATGCTGCTTGTTTTTGTTTTAATTTATTTAATTATGACAAAGTACTCGAGGGCTGACTATCTACCTAAGGTAAAGGATGCCTTCATGAAGGACATTTTAAGGGAATTAGCTCCTATACACTTTACACATGGGGAAACTACGAAAACGCCCATGCAGCCAGTCCGTTTGACTCCTTTGCCACGATGATTGTCTTGGGCTGAACTTTGTCAGACAATTTAGATTGGAAACTACTACAAATTATGGAAATCATTTAATTTTCTTTTAGAAATATTTTTATTTCCTGAATTTGAAATAGTGTGTCCTGTAAATTATTTCGTTTACAGGCCACAGAGAATTAATTGATAAGTTTTTAAGCTTTACACCTTATTGTAGCGAATGGAACTATTATGAGTATTATGTGTATTATCCTCAAATTTGAACCCTATCTAAGAAATTCATTGCATATTAAATTCTAAATGACGTGAATAAACAATTAGATTTAAAAATTTTAACAGAATTTTCAAGTGACCGTATTAAGTTTCATGGTAGAAATTTTCGTATTTTTAAAATCAAATTTCAGTAACTGATAAATTAAATATTTGTCTCCCGTACCAAAGGATGTATTACTTTAGCAAATATCAAATGGAACAAATTTTGCGATACTTAATTATGCGAAAAATGAGAAATATTTTCACATGCGTGATTCTAAATGGCAAATACAATGAATTTTTTAATTAACCCTACCTCTCTGTTTATTCACAGATTGATTATTTTTATTCGGAAAAGTTTCATTACCCACAGTTTGCCCACAAGGGATCATGCTGGTTGAGATCTATAATCTGACGATCTTGGGTGTGGAGTTTAGCTTGTGCTGTCCCGGCCATCCGAGTGGGTGGCGCTCCAATCAGTTTTCTTCGGTTTCAACAAGTCCGCTCCACACCCTTCATATTGCCTGAGAGATGATATATGAGGGACGATAAAACGTCAATCGGCCTAGTTGGATGGTCCAAGTCATTACAGCAATTGTAACAAAATGACTCTTTTTGGAAGTTTGTTGTGCCAGTCAGCTCCATTCGCTTGATACGGAGCTGAGCGATGAGGATTAACTGTGTAATTTTCAAACTTGTGGCAGGACACGCATATAAATTATACTTAGAACACACACACACACACACACACACATATATATATATATATATATATATATATATATATAAGGGTGCAAATGAGCCTGTACATGGCCCGACCATGTCCTCTCTTTCTACTATCTATTCAGGTTATTTCTTGCAATCAATATCACGAATAATTTATTAGTTCGAAACAATGATTACAAGAAACTTTTCTCTTAGCGTCTTTTTTAACATGCCTTATTTCTCCTATTACAAAACAATGGTGCCATATTTTCCGTTTACTTTATTCCAGTGCAATTATTCCTATTTCCTTTTCTTCAGGTGCCACATTTTATATTAAATCTCTAAGAGCGTATGTGCATATTAAAATATGTCAAGGAAAGTAAGGCAATTTATGAAAAGTACATAAATCCAGGTATAAAGTACCAAAAGCGTTTTTACATTAAAAAATCAAGAAAACACTTTTTCTCATAGTAGCTTTGGGAAATTTGCGCTTTCTTAGCGTAAACTGTGGCCGGTTAGAGGCTTAACATGTGCAACCGTTGAAAGGATAACTTCGCCCTGATCATATTTGAATTCATTTGATAGTAGTTCTGCTTGTCATGTTTTGTGTACAGTGTATTCATTCCACTGTAACGACGTCAAGCTTCCGGGATGGGAAAACTAAGACCACTCATCTTTTTTTTTTTTTTTTTTTTAATTTACTTAAGCAATGCTTTCTTGGTTAATTAAAAAGTAACATTACAACATTATTATAGCAGGGGAAAGCAACAGCTTTCCTGACGTGCATTGCATCTTACTCTCTCAGCATTTCTCGGGCAAAAGCCGTTTTTTCTGCTTATAAAATGAGTCAATAGAAACCTGCCAAAGGGGGAGGGGTTGTCCTTAACGAGTTTTCTCTTGATCACTTTCACAGGCCTCCAGGGCGGACACAGCTTTCGTTCCTAAGGGAACAAGAACTTCTCTAATATACACCTGTTTGTTACACTACACATAATTCTGAAATCAGTGAATACCTATAGCATATCTTGATTATGGCTTTTATACATCTTAGTCAAGAACATTTAAATGCATATCGCCATTGCATTTTCTAATACTTTTTCTGCTGTGCCTTATAATAACTAAACTCGGCTTATGGAAAATAAAACAATTAATCTTACGCATATTCTTTTCCAAGGCAAAATAAAAGTTTATAAAAAATTCAGTTTTACTTTCGCTTGAGTGCATTAACACTTTAATTGCTACATCCCCTAAATTGGAAGAGCAGCAAAAATTCTGTGTATATGTATGTAATCAGTATAACTGACATATATCATGATGTCAGTTATACTGTTTAATAAGAAAATATCTTAGCAGATACTGGGAAGAGTATTCATCGAGATATATAAAAAATGTTAAATTATTATAAAGTTTCATCTAATAAAATATAATCTATTTTAAGAAAAATAGAATGAGTCTTTTGTAAATAGTCATTATAATGGCACGCCTAATACAGTTGATGCCGTTTGTATTAAACAACAACAACAACATACAGTTGAATGTTTGTCCAGTTTCATTTTTAAAGTTGACATGTGTCTCTTTTTTTACACATGTCTTGTTGTTTTAAAATGAAAACTCTCATTATCATCCTCTTACGCAAACTTATGTAACCCTCAGTCATCGAAGCAAATATAAAGCAAGGTTGCTCTTAAAACTTAACCTAGATTCCATTGCTTTTAAAATCTTATGGCAATGATCCATAAAACGCTTCATATCGTTTCCTCATTCTTCTCACGTAAAATACTCTTGTTTTCTATTTATAAATTTATGGACTAATAGTACTTGAGATACCGCAGCATCTGTTTTTTCTAAGCTTGTCATCAGCAATTGTAATAGTCTTCGAATATATATTCAGCTGAATTGAACTCATGTTTTCCATCAATTTCGTATTCACTTTAGGAAATTTAGGCAGACCGAATTTTTATTTCTGACAACAATGTTACATGGAATTGTATGAATTATTGTAATTCCCATTGCTTCTAGCTTCCACAAGTTTTCTATGTCACTGCTGTGAGTCAACATCGACGTTATGGTTGAAGACATGGACAACGAGTTTCTTTCTGAAACGTTATCTTTTATCTTTCCCATGATTGTCCATCCAAGTAGTGATTCCACAGCAGTCAGCCCATTTTCTAATTTCTGAATTCTTCCGGTTAACAGAGCACCTGCGACATCAGCTCCAATAAGAATTTCTATTTTTAAATCCTTTCTTGGAAATAGTTTTAGAGAAACTAGTTAGTTTCTCTAAAACTATTTATAAGAAAATCATGAAAGGCTGAACTACTTTTATCTGAAATTTTAATTCAAATTAAAAAGAAAGATTATTTAATAATCAGCATTCTTATTAAACAATCCAATGCGATTAATTTTGGCAGCATTTAAATACCGAAAATAGCTAAAGGATGAGAAATATTTTGTATTTCCTTATTCATTTAAAGTTTTGCTTAAGTATTTTCTACCCTTTCAACATCATTAACTTTGGCAATATTTCGATCACAAAAGCAATAAAATAAATATTACTATCATTATGGCATTCTAACAATTCTTGCAATTTATTTTAGCGTTATTATGGTTTATATACCTTTCAATCTATTTTAATTAATTCCATTTTGTAGTTCTAAAGTATAGCTTTAATAGTACATGCTTTAGTT